CCCCACACCAACAAACCAAGTAATCCATTAAAAACATAAGCTACGGTCTGATAGAAGGGGAGGAGGTCCTTCCCAATCAGGTAACTAGGGAAAGGGCATATAGGAAAAAGGAGGGTATGTGAGAATGAGAAGAGACAAGGGAGAGGGCTGCAGCAGGGATATAAAGTGAATAAATTATAATATATAAATAAAATATTTTTTTAAAAAAAGAATGAAAATAGAAACCCAAGAGACCAAATGCTCCTGAGGTCTACAAAAATCTTTCTTATACTAAGGACCATTCATGGATATAACCTAAAATCCCTGCTCAGATGTAGCCCATAGCAGCTTAGTATCCAAGTGGGTTCCCTAGTAAGGGAAACAGGAACTGTCTCTGACATGAAATCAGCAGCTGGCTCTTGGATCACCTTCCTCTGAAGGGGGAACAGCCTTGCCAGGCCACAGAGGAGGACAATGCAGCCAGTCCTAATGACCTGATAAGATAGGGTTAGATGGAAGGGGAGGAGGACCTCCCCTATCAGTGGACTTGGAGTGGGGTATGGGTATGGAAGAAAATGAGGGAGGGAGGGTGGCATTGCGAGGGAATGAGAGACGCAGCTACAGCTGGGATGCAAATGAATAAGCTGTAATTAATATGAAGTAATAAAAATTTAAATTAAAAATGTTTTTATAAATAAATAAATAAACGAGGTACAAAGCTCAACAGAATTCTCAATAAAAGAATATCAAATGGAGAGAAACACTTAAAGAAATGATCAATGTCCTTACTCACCAGGGTGATGCAAATCAAAATGACCCTGAGATTTCACCTTATACCCAACAGAATAGCTAAGATCAAAAACTCAAGTGACAACACATGCTGGAGAGGATATGGCAAAATGGGAACCTTCCTACATTCCTGGTGGGAGTTCAAACTTGTATAACCATTTTGGAAATCTGGCTCTTTCTTGGAAAATTAGGAATGGTGCTTCCTCTTCCATTTTTTATTTATATAATTTATTACAATTTATTCACTTTGTATCCCCACTGCAGCCCCCTCTTTGTCTCCTAGTCTCTCCCATGCTCCCTCTTCTCCCGCTATGCCCTTTCCCCAATCCTCTGATAAGAGAGGACCTCTTTGCCTTCTATTTGACCCTAGCTTATCAGGTCTCATCAAGGCTAGTCTCATCTTCCTCTTTGGCCTGGCAAGGCTGTAAGCCCCAGAGGTTGGTGATCAAAGAGTTGGCCACTCAAAGACTCTACCCACCATGGTATCGAAGGAGATACTGAGACTTACAGCCAAACTTTGAGCAGAGTGCTGGAATCCTTACGGAAGAAGAGGGAGATAGAAAGACCTAGAGGGATAGGAACTCTATGAGGAGAACAATAGGGCCAAAGTACCTGGGCCCAGGGGAGCCTGCAGAGACTGATATTCCAACTAAGGACCATGCATGGAGAGGACCCAGATTCTCTGTTGTTTGTATAGTGGTGAGCATAAGCTGCCTTCCTCTCCCGTTTTTAATGGTAAGCCTCTCACATTCCCTTTAATGCCAAAAGTATGCTGTTTATAATTTAATGTCCTGTGACTTGTTAATGCTTTCCTACCCCAAGACCCAATCATGCTTGTATGGTTGCAGGGTCCTCTCTCCTAACAAAGCTTATTCATGAACAGTAATTTTGCATCAGCTCTTTTCCTGAGTCAACCATCTTGGCACACTGTTTCTCTATCTAGAAAACATAAAAGTGAGATTGAGAGTATCAGGTGAGGGGCACTGCCTCCACTAAACTCTCGTAATGTACAAATCTGTATATGTCCTATGATATTTGAGGTCACCGAAGAGCTACTCATAAAGTGGCATCAGCAGTTGTCAGGTCAGATGTAAGTGTCCTCAGAAATCATCTTCCAACTCAAAGGAGAGGGTAAAACATCAAGCAGATATTAATGAAGCCGTGCCCTTGAAAACAGGTGGAAGGTGAACCGTTTCTGACAGAGGTCACTATTATTTATCCTCAATACAAAATAAACAAACAAAGCAAATAAAACAAAAACATTACAACAACTTCGAAAGAACTTGTGTTGGAAGACAGAAGCTGGAAGCTCATCCCTGGGGAGATTGGAAAGGATCCTGTCAATCAGGAATTTCTGCTGATTGATTAAACTTTGCTTGTTGTTTTCTCCGGGAACACTGTACTTGCCTGATTCCTTGACATTATACCTTTTTGTAGTTATTATTTTTTTAACATGGAAATCTCACCAGAGGGGACTCACTGCTCTCTTCCACTGTTCCTGAGACTCTCTGGATTGGGAGTTACTTCAGTGGAGTTCTCTGTGCCTATTCATTCCTGTCTGATACTTGGAGTGGCTGATTTAATGTAGCATTGCCTCCTATCTGCTAATCTGTATACCTGTTGCTAGTTATTTATTCTTTTACATTTACTTACTTTGTAGTTAATAAATTCACTCAGCTGAAACCAAAAGCACAGCTGTTATAGATCATTTTCTGGACCGAACAGAACCACCACCACCCCTTCAAATAATTTACTCACCTTTGTGAGTCTTTAGCATTGAAATGCAGACTGTGCAATTAAGTGTTGAACACCTGTGACAGGTTCTGATTTGATACTGTTCTTGGAAAATGAGAAACCTTGCTGAGAAATCGACACTGTGGCTAAAATGTACTTTTCTGTTGGTAAGACTATGAACTGAAAAACAATACTGCAATGGAGTATATAAATGTCGACATTAATCTGCACAGAGTGCTTTGTTTGCAAGACGAGTGTCTGTTTCAGCTGCAAATGCGTAACTGCTTGATGTATTTACGTTCAGATTAACTCCAGTTCACTCTGGAAGAGTCTACTCACACCGAGAAACCTTTTAAACTTGAGTTAGCTGCTCTCCTAAGGACTTATGGAAGGTAAAACTTTATTACCGGCCCCTTTCCTTTTGTAATGCTTAATTTTGAAAAATGAAACAATTGCCTTGAAGGTATTTTGCAACTTTTTTAACATAAAATTTTCATAATGATTCCATTATTGAATAAACCCATATGTCCCCATATCAAAAATTATTTGTTTAAAATTCATAGAGCTGAGCCCAAGGAGTGTATTCCATGAGGTATATAATTACTTTGTATATACTTTAATGCATTAGGTTTAGGTATCACCTGTGCTTTTATTTCATCTATGTTTCTCTTTTTTCTTTTTTTCTTTATCTATTATTTCTCATAAAGATCTATACAAGATACAAAGCTAAAAGATGTACTTGGAAAAAAAGTTGGTAGTTTTTAAGCTGTGTTTACTGTTTTTTAAATGGGCAAATAAGGACTAGATAAACAAAGAGATTAACTAATTGTCACTATATATATTTTTGGCATATCCACAGGGGAAGGCCATATTGTTTAGATAGTAACTGAAGGGTTGAATTAAATGAATGGACTATAAGGTTTTCAGTTTTAGAGGTCATAGATCAGAAGTCATTTCAACTGCTCCACTAAGACAGCCTCTCTTAAAAAAAATACTAGAAATTTCTTTACCAAATACAAATAAAAGAAACCATCTGACAACCAAATAAAGCCAGAACTGATGTTATTCACAAGGATAAAATTCTGAATTCTCTATCATGTAATAAAGTATTATTAATCAGAAAAAATAAGTCATTAGAATAAATATCAAAGTACATTTTTACAATAGGAAGTTCCAAGGTTTTGCCTTCTGTACTTTATGTAAAGGCATACTTAGTACACATAATAAATTCAGTCAAAGAGTTTTTTTTTTTCTTCAATACTGTGAACTTTTGCCAAAATGACTTCACTTATTGTCTCTGGCAGCAAAACATCTTTCTTCTTGTTTTTATATATTCTAAGGAAAAGAAAAATGAACAGCTGTGTTACCACTGCTGAAAAAAAGTTATAAAGTTGAGTTACATAATTTTAAATATAATTTGTATGTATTTCTCAATGCTAAGAAAGATTGAAATCTCAGAAGTTTCTACAGCTCCTTCTAAGAAATAATGTGATATGAACTGGCATATGTTGTAAGAATGCCTCATTCATTATCTATGTTTAGGACATGATTGATAGTATGCTATATTAATTTTAGAAAATATCTTTTGTCTCTCCCACTGCCATATATATCTTGTTCTTCATATTGCTGGAATTTAGAAAAACAATAGCGTCAAAGCTGCTTCCAGCCCAACAGAGAGCTTGAAGCAATCCTGATTTTATCTTAATAAACTAAGAAAAACAGAAGGTATCTCAGTGTTTGAAGACAACTGTTTAGACTATTGGAGGGTGTTCAAAGCTTATCTGCTGTGTAGAAATCACATTCTAATCAAATAAGAAAATGTATATCATGTGAGAAGGAGCTCTATTCTTTTTAAAGATTTGACTTTATGCTACTGTATTTGAAGAGAAACAGTTGCCTTCCTAGAAGAAAATGACTCATTCTAGACATTCATATGTTTTGTCAGTGATATTGAATTTGGGAATTAACTTCAAGTTTCTTGCTGAAACATGTAGGATGAAGCAACTAGCAACTCAATGCATCACCTGATAAGCTAGGGTCAGAAAGGAGGGGAGGAGGACCTCCCATAGCAGTGGACTTGGAAAGGGACAGGGAGGAGATGAGGGAGAGAGGGATGGGGGAATGAGAGAGGGAACAACGGCTGGGATACAAAGTCAATAACCTGTGATTAATATTAAAAAGTAAAAATTAATATTAAAATTGCTTCTGAGTGATGTGTCTGAAGAAATTTCTCTGAGTTTTTCATTTATCTAAATACCATTAAGATTATATTAAGTCAGAGTGTGGAATTATTTTTTTCTGCTTCAGTTAATATGTACCCTGGAAAGGTTGTGTACGCTAAGGGCACTATCTTACATGTCTCTCATATTTTAAGTCCTGCTATTAAAATGTTTTATTACGTTTCACTGCACAATGTTATAACACTTCTTTCGTCCTTTCCTGGCATATCTTTATTCATAATATTATAGTTTACACATCTTCAATATTCTCCAGATTTTTGATTCTCAGATCATAAGGATGAACATTTTTCTTTAAAAGTTACTCATCAAAAAAAAATAAATAAAATAAAATAAAAGTTATTCATCGCTGTTCGCTGTTTCAAGGACCTATGTAAGACATTAGAAATGAGGATATTTGGAACATGAGAAAAATTACTGAGCTATACCAGAGCATATGTGTTTGAGATATCCAAATTCTTCCAACATTTTACCAGGGTATGTGCATATATTATACAAGTGCTGTATAATTTGAGAGACTAGTCAATGTCAAGTATAAAGATTTCATTCCCAATAAATCTTTTTTTTTTCAGAAATGTTTGTGAACAATATGACCCCCAAAACACACACACACACACACACACACACACTTATACACTGTTGGGTTTCCTTAGCCTGTTTCTAAGTGTTATATTTGTGTGTCTGTGTGTGCTTTCCAGAATCTTTCATTCAGTTAGTTGACGAGTTGATGCTGACTTTACATGGGATGAAAGAATGTGTATACAAGGAAATCGTTTGGATGCCAGGATATGTAAGTGATCATATAGGATTTTTCTCACCAAGAAAGTCAGGCTGTGTCTCTAGAAAATTAAGTTATTAGTAAACTAATGAGAAAATCTGAATATAATTGAACAGAAAAGATCTTGACTCAACTTCAGTTTCCGTATGTGTGTGTGTGCATGTGTGTGTGTGTGTGTGTGTGTGTGTGTGTGTGTGTGTAAAGCACTCTACCCTTAATTCCTATAGCTGTAATGAAAACAGGTTGTGAAACAAGCTTGAATTTGCAATATAACTTATTTTGATTAGGTTAAATCTTTCATAAACATATTTTATTTCTAAAGTGTTTTATTCTGAGCTACCATAATATTCTGGCTGCATGTATCATAGGTTTGGTTTCGTCCTGGATTTTTGTGTGTGTGTGTGTGTGTGTGTGTGTGTGTGTGTGCAAGCTTGGATTTCATTGTATTTAGTAAACATCTGTCCAATAACTGTTTAGCCAATCCATACATTCAGTGGTTAGGATATTTTAGGTTTAACCTTACATAATAACTATGAGCTCAAAATGAAAGAGTGTCAATAGGCAGAAGTCTATAAGCATAAACCAGGAAGAGCTTTAAGGAAGGAAGGCAAAACCCATTTCCCCACTCTTTAGTACTCCTCTGCTTTGCACTAGAGCAAGTTTGATACTCAAAATATATATTTATGTGTATGGGTATGTATCTCTGTTTGTATGTATATGCACCCACATGCCATGCCATATATGTGATATGCTGCTGTAAAACACAGCATTAAAGTGTATTCAATACGTGGTAAATTGACAGATGACAGTTTATACATGCTTTCTTTTTCCTGAGTCTACTGCAACAAAGGGAAGCAGGAGATACAGCAGAGCAAAGCCTACAGCTGTGTGATTGAAGAATAAAAAAAGGATTTTTGTGTACTTGCATTCATTTGATAGCTCCTCCTTCCATCTTTCTAACCTACATTGCTAAAAACGATTGGTTCTTCACACTTGGATACAACAGAAAATGGCATGAGCTTTAGACTGTAGAATTAAGTGTGAGTATTCAGGCTGTTGATCCATTAGCAGATGTGTTTTTCAGTGCAGTCATTCCTTCACACCTCACTTTGGGGGAGTGGAGAAGTTTTGAGGCCAGTGAGAAAAAAAAAACAAAACTGTGTGGTGTGTGGGTGTGTGTCTCTCTGTGTGTGTGTGTGTCTGTGTGTTGCACTTCAGACAAAAAGATGAAGGTCATACAGATAGTATATTAAAATATCAGGAGAGTGGGAACCTTTGCAACCAGCAAGTTTCTACTTTTCTTTTTGGAAGCTAGTTTGTATCCTGTTAAGTAACATGTCCACATCCTTTAAAGGAAGCCTTAGTGAATTGCTACTGCACCAGCCTTGCTATCTCTTCATACATGCCCATGATTACAAGATACCCCAGTGTGATATTCTGTTACAGCCTTGGAATCAGAATTCAAATGGAGAAAAATCATTTCTTACCATAACATTTGAGAGACCATAAGGCCAGGAAGTTTCTATAATAAGAACAATTTATCATTTAGAAAAGCCAAACTATCACTTACCTAAAAGCCAAAAGTTGGGGCTAGTGCTTAGTAAATAAAACACTTAGAATAATCCTTGAAAATGTTGCAGTTTCTAAGGAATCAGGAATAAGGCCTTGTTATTTGTGTACCCAAGTGACCATTTAGCCCATTTTAACTCTGTGACAATTTTCATTGAATTGAACTAAATTTGGTAACACTCAGAACCCAAAATTCTTTGTAAACTGTGAGGAATTTAGAATGACCACACTTTTATGTTAATACTTCATCTGGTCTGTGGAATCTCCTTCATACAGAAGCAGATATATCATAGTGGTGTTTTTTCTCTTCTTGAGTCAAATGTATTTCATAAACTGTTATTTTTTATCTAAAAACTTTATAAAGGACAGTACTATTGAGAAGGCAAAAATATCATAGCGTCTTTGATTACTGATGTGCACCTTAGGCCAAATAAAGCAACAGAGGCATGTAGAAAATAATGCTGTAACTAAAGAGGACTATAGTATTATCTTTCTTAGAAAATAAGGAATCTAAATCCCTTCAGGTTTTTCATGTCTACGCTAGATTACAAATGAGCTATGTCCAGGTACAGAAAAACCAACAATATTTTATTTATAATCTTAATTTAAGCTTTGAACTACAAATTCTGGTTCTAGAGTTTTCTTTTTAAAAGTCATGGGTTTTATAGATGCTCATATGTAAATTAATCTGTTGTTTGCTTACTTTTGTTTCTTTCTCCACAGAATATCCTCCTCATAAATACAGAACAGGTCATTACATGAAAAATATAAGTTCTTCCACTTTCCCTCATTCTTTCTTAAAAATCTATTTCTAATATTGCATTCCCCATTGGACTACTTCATAAGGGCATGAAGGAAAAAGAAAAAATAATGAAAAAACTAGAGAGAGAAAGAGACAAAATAGACTGGATCTCACCACTAGAATTCACCATAAAAATCTCAAAGTGTAACAGAATTCTTACAAAATTTCCTAGACCAGTTCTTTGGGGAATTGAGATCTATGAAAAATATGGCAATCAGGGAAGGGAGGGAGGAGGTGTGGAAAATAGTAAGTGCAGCAAAAACAGGTTCTGAGGAATACACATAATTTTGTCTGCTTTAGATCACAATAGAATTTTTAATAAATAAATTTCTTTTCTTTTTTGTTTTTTTTTGTAAAGACACTTTTTTTGAAACAGAAGATTTAGCCCAGTCATTTGTGTCATTTTTTTAATAAATTGTCTTTTTTTGATTGTTTTTTGTAACTGTAAATGTTTTATATCTGAGTCTCTTGTACATTGTCTTTAGAGTTCATTCGAATCAATAACGGTTCATGCACTGAACTGTGTATTGAATTTATTGTGTTTACTGTTGTTGTGTGGTTGAAGGGAGATTTGTAAGAGTTATAATGGTTTAGGTGCTCATGCTCAATTGCAGGCATGGGCAGGTGGCTTTCCATGGGCGTGTCCCCAGTGATCTCATCATCCACGTTAATGATTTCAACAGTCCTTGTTGGAGCATGGTGATTTTGCCTATGGTGCTGTTTCCTCATCTTGTAGAAAATGACCAGCATCACGGCAGCCATGAGTGTGATGGCCACAAAACACCCAATAATGATTTTGGTCGTTTTCATGACCTCATCAATTCCTGGGATTCCACTGTTGATGTCAGTTACTGGGATGGTGAATGTTTTCTCTGTCGACCTTGTGCTCTGTGGCGTAAGAGATGTGGTTACATTGGTAGTCTCCCAATCGATCACTGGAGTGGGGCCCACATTGTTATCTGTGGTCCGTGCCTCATCCTGAGAAGGTTCCATAGTCTCCACTGTTACAGTTGAAAAGTACGAGAAAGGAGTAGTGGTTGCCGCAGTGACATTCAAGGTGGCCGAAGCGGTAGTGTTGCCAACAGAATTACTCACCATACACGTGTACATGCCTGTGTCTTGCACAGTCACATTTGTGAAATTTAACGTGCCATCGCTGAGCACAGCTATCCGCACTTTGTATGCCCCATGAGTCATTACTGTTCCGTTTGGAGTAATCCAAGATACGGAAGTCAGGGACGTAGAGGCCCGGCATTTTAGCTCAGCCGCCATGCCTTCAGTGACGTTGAGATCTGCAGGGGGCTCTACAATGACGGGAGCATAACAAGTGAAGTAATTCTGGTCCAGCTCTCCGATGTACCTCCCCTTCAGATTGGCGGGAGTGTTACACCTGGCACAGCAGGCGGTGTTGGAGGGGGCCATGTCTCTTATCCACCAGCTGAGCCACAGTATGTCACAGTTACAGTTCCATGGGTTGTGATGAAGGTGTATCCTCTCCAGATGATGCAAGGGTGTGAAGAGATCATGAGGCAGCAATGTTAGATTGTTGTGTGCCAGGTTGATCTCCACTAGTGACTGAAGGTTATCAAAGGCATTCCGTTCAATCACTTGAATCTGAGACTGTATCATCCACAGTTTTTGAAGGTGCATCAACCCCTGAAAAGAGCCAGGCCTGATGGCAGACAAATGGTTCCCGGAAAGATCTAGCTCGTCTAGTTTGATGAGCGGCGTGAGGTTAGGGATTTCCCGGAGGTTACACATTGCAAGGTTCAAATACCTCAAGTTGGACAGACCTTCAAAGGCCCCTTCCGAGATGTACGAAAGCCTTTTCAGTTCCCCTAAGTCTAGGCGTCGCAAAGAAGGGATTCTATTAAAAGCATAAGAAGGGATGCTTTCAATGGGATTGTTCCGCAACCAAAGCTCCTTCAGTTTAGACAAATATACAAAAGCTCCATTCGGTATGGTGGTAAGACGATTGTCAAAGAGTTCCAGAGTGTTGAGGTTCGCCAGACCATTGAAGGCCCCAATTTCAATGGTTCGAATATGGTTCCTGCTCAACTGGAGAATTTCCAAGTGCCTCAAGTGCTTGAAGCTGTTCACTTTGATGATCTGGATTTGGTTCTCATGGAGGTTCAGCAGTCTTGTGTTGGTGGAGATGCCATCAGGAACCTCACGAAGATTTTTCCGAACACAAATCACCTTGCTGAACTGGTTGCTGCAAGAGCACACTGAAGGGCAGGTTTGAGCCCGAACCAGACCAGCCACCACAAGAAGTTGAAGAGCCAACAGCACCACAAGCAGGGGGTCAAATAGGGCCCTGTTAAACCTAGGACCTATCATTATCTGCTGTGGATGTAAGGTCATCTTGTTCAACATTCATAATTTATCTGGTATTGGTCCTTCTGGAGTTCAAACAGCCTGGAAAACAAAAGAAACAGCATTACTTCTTTAAGTATCTTCCTAGAGTATTGTTGGTTATGTATGCATGATGCTAATTCGATTATTAATGGACAATACATGCAATAGGCTTCATGATAAACAAATGTAATAGCTCTTCTTGGGTTACATTGCCAATATTTACAGAGAAATAGTTATGTAGTCCAAATTATTAACATTCACCATTTGCACAAAATCAGAGAGAAGAGAAAAATGGAACACTGAGAAGGAAGACCCCCATGTAGCACTTATCAACTGCCAACTTTGCAGAAGCCAAATGCATAAATGTGTATGTGATGAACTTCATCTTTTGCTTCGGTGTCCATCACATATGAGAAATGCAAAGTATATAGAAGTCAGGGACTTTACCCTACCAACTTAAATCTCCTATGCAGCATAGCAACGAAATCCATTCTACGTGGCAGGTACCATGGGCTATAGAATTCATAAATAATGCTATTTAGTAAAGACTAATTAATTTCTGCTACTTAGTGAATAGGTAAATTGTGTGTTGCCTTGTTAAAAATTTACTCCCTCTTCTGATGTAAATCCCATTTTTCTTTCTGAGTGAGGATTGAGACTCTTATCCAGAGTCCTCCTTCTTACTTAGCTTCTTTAGGTGTACAGATTTTAGTATGTTTACCTTTATTATATGTCTAATATCCACTTATAAGTGACTATATACCATGTGTGTCTTTCTGCTTCTGGGATACCTCACTCAAGATTATCTTTTCTAGATCTCACCATTTGTCAGCAAATTTCATGATTTCCTTGTATTTAATTGCTAACTCGCATTCCATTGTGTAACTGTTCCAAGATTTCTATATCAATGCCTCGGTTGCGGGAAATCTGGGTTGTTTCTGGGTTCTAGCTAATATGAATAAAGCTGCTACAAACATGGTTGGACAAATGTCCTTGTTGTGTACTTGAGCATATTTTGGATATATGCCTAAGAGTGGTATAGCTGGATCTTGAGGAAACACTATTCCTAATTGTCATAAGGGCCAGATTGATTTCCAAAGTGGTTCTACAAGTTTACAGTCCCACCAGCAATGGAGTAGGGTACCTCTTTCTCCATATCAGAAGAGGGCTTTCTAAATACAAATATGCTTCTAGCAATGACAACCATAATTGCATATTAAGCACACCTGTTCCAAAAGACCTTGCTCTAACATCCCAAAAGGCCAAGGTTGCTTTACATTCTAAGTGTATGTTTTTTCTCTCTCACTATTATGACAAAGAATCCTAACAAAGCTTTTGTGAGTTTCAGTTTTATTTCTGGTAATTCTCAGGTGTTCTGTCTTGCTTCTTTTCTTGGGGCAACTGAATCTCTGAGTTGAGATTTTACAACATCTGGGGTAGATACTTGCTCTAGGTTAATTAAATAAATCCTAGTCTCTGTATGGTGATTTGGTTATACAGTTGTTCAGTTGTTTAGGAATAACCGGTGCTTAACTAAAAGATACATAAATAGTAAGTATTAATATATCCACAGAAAATGGCACCCAACTAATCTAAGTATCCATACCCCTTGAAATCATACTTTAACATAATTTGGTGGGAGAAATAAGCTCCCAGTGATGCAACACAAACATAAAACTTAAAAACTCCCAGGTCAATTACTGTCTCTATAAGACAGACCCAAGAGGGGGCTACAGCAGGGATACAAAATTAATAAATTGTAATAAATAATAAATCAATAAAAAAGGAAAGAAAAATAAATGACAAATATATCGAATGATCAGTGTTTTCATAAGGATTAGCTGATACGATCAGGAATATACACGAAAACATGGGCATATGAATACTGAAGTTACTTGTAGATTATATGTGTCTCTTGTTCCTCTTTACCAAGGTTGAATTGTAGGTTCTGCTTCTGGTTCCCTTCAAGGTCACTGTATTATTGCAATTGATGAGGTTTATGATGAATCAATCATAAGCAATGTTTTATGAATTATACTTGGTTAAAAGCTAATTTATAACCTATAGCAAATAATACTTGGTACTTTGCACTGAATCAAATAAACTACTATCAAAAAAAGATTTTGTACTTTAAAACCTAAGTCATGTTATTTTACATTAAAAGCCCATCTTCAACATCTCTTTTATAAGATGGTTTTATCACATCAAAGGAAAGTCAATTTTAAGCTGTGCACTATCCATTACAATGCCATCTCACAACATTTACCTATAAATGAATTTGTGTAGGATTTGAATTAAACTATGGTATTTTTAGCTATGTCCTGGAGGATATCATGATTTTGTCAATAGGCCTTTCTTCTCTCCGTATGCATTCCATAAACCGATAACCTAGTGCATTCAGAAGAGTGGCTGAGGGGGAAATGCTTTAAAACTCAGTCTTCTTGTAGAGTTGACACAGGCTGAGCATAGATGTTACAATTAACTTAGGAAACAGGACATATATATATATATATATATATATATATATATATATATATATATATATTCAGGTCATCAAAAATAGCCCACTATGTATGTATGTGTGTGTGTATACATATTTTTAACGATTTTCAATAAATATGGAACATGAAACTCCTTAACCAATCTGAATCTTGATAATGAGAATCTCAGCTACATCCCTGCATCTCCAGCACACGCACACACACACACACACACACACACACACACACACACAACAGGACTTCTACATTTTATTTATTTTGTGTGTTTCAAATTATATTTTTATTGACTGAGAAATTACTAAACATTTTTATCGTATTACTGCCCTCTTCCCTTCCTCCACCAATTTCATTCTTGTCAGTTTAACTACACCTGGCATTTACTATAACCCAAATGGCTGAGCATAACAGGGAGGGATTTCTTTCCATTAATTAAATCATTTGAATTGGGAATAACTACTTCTAATCCACAGTTTTGCAATGTGAAGCCCCACCTTTAATCTGGCCCACACTTTCTGCTGGCAGCCTATATAACACAAATGGAAGAAGGAAGCTCTTTATTTGCCTGCTTGATCTTGTTCTCCCTAGCATGTCCAATCCTTCACTGGTCTGAGAGCCTATTTCTTCTGGATTCTGGCATGTACTTCAGTCCAGCTGAGACATCCAGTTCAAGGACTGAACACTGACTGGATTCTTGAATTTTCATTTGTTCAACCATTGTTTAATTAGCTGGACAACAGCCTGTAAGCAGTTCTAATAAATCCCCTTTCTACACACACACACACACACAAGCACACCATTCTATAATTTATGCTCCTCTACAAAACCTTTACTAATATGCCACTCAAATTTGTACCTTCTTTTTATCCATCCTGTTCTAATTTTGTTTTATGAATATGCTGCGGTATATTTATAAATGACCATAGAGAATGGTCAATCCAACAGGAGTCACACCTTTAAAGAAAACTGACATTCATTCTCATCTTGTGGTGAGATGTCCTATGCACCTCCCTCATCTATGCTGGAATTTTGCTTGATTTGAGCTTATGCAAAGCTTATGCATGCTCTTACAATCACTGTGAATTCATCTGTGTAAGTGATAACGTTGTATCAGAGAAATGCTTTTTTTGTGGTAAACGTGATCATAAACAGGGTAAAACCTGTTTCCAATGCTTCTTCCTCTACACAATAGTTCTGACCCTCTTTCTTGGCAATCTCTGAACCTTGGCAAAAAGTTCAGAGATGAAGATGTCTCATTTAGGGCTCATCACTTCATAGACTCTTAGTTTCTAAACATTCAAATTATATAGATTTTTAAGTGCTGTCTACTGAGAGAATTTTCTCTGAACTTGCACAAAACTCAACTTTACATGGATAAAGGACCTCAATTTTAGCCCTATGCCTTGAAACCAATAGAGCAAAAGCTAAGGATTATGAATGAATTTATAGCATGTGACAGGGTTTTCTGAATTGAAACTTGGTATTTCAGTAATTAAAACCAGTAGTTGCTAAATGGAATGTTATAGTTTTACTTCCTTTTCAACTTGACAACATCTCAAATTGACTAAAACCCAATTCCAGTGGCAGGGTGTACCTATGAGGGATTTTTCATAATTAAATAACTTGAAATGGGAAGACCCACCTTGAATCTGGATCTTTTGAGATGGGGAGATACACCTTTAATCTGGGCCACACCTTCTGCTGGCAGCCTATATAAAAGAAATGGAAAAAGGAAGCATTTGAGTTTTGCCTATATGCCTCTGTTCTGGCTGGCAAATGTATTCCTTCATTGGCATTAAAACCTACTTCTTCAGGAGTCTAGTATATACTGAAGACCAGCTAAGACATCCAGTCTCACAGACTGAACAACTGCTGGATTTTTTGGACTTTCTGATGGTAGGCAGCAGCTGCTGGACTCTCAGGCCTTTGGCTTATAAGCCCCTCTAATAAATCCCCATGTGTGTGTGTGTATGTGTGAGTAAATTATGTTCCACTAGAGAACTATGAATACTATGTGGAACCACGAGAATTTAAAATGCTTCTAGACAGTAAAAATACTGAAGTGGTAGACTAAACCATGGGAAAAATATTTACCACTTATACTTCTACAGCAATATGTGTGTTAAGGTTGCACAAACTTTGCAGAAAACTTAACACAGAAAAAACAGCCAATTATAAATTGAGATAAAATATAGTAGTATAGCTTGTTTTTTGTTTGTTTGTTTGTTTGTTTTTGTGGGACTCTTAACAATGTGAGCAAGCTCTGTCTCTGACTCTGTTGCCTGCTTTTGGGACCCTATCTTCCTACTTCATTGCCTTGTCTAGCCTAAATAGAAGTGGAGGTGCCCAGTCATATGGCAACTTAATATGATATGGCTGGTTGATATCCATGGCGGCTGGTCATTTTCTAAAGAGAAACAGAGGAGGAGTGGATGGGGGGAATATAGTGAGAAGGGAATGGGAGGAAAGAAGGCATGGAAAACTGTGGTCCAGATGTAAAATAGATAAGATTAAAATTAAAAAGAAATTAAATTAAGTTGGGACAAGAAAATAAAGGAAGAGTTCTTAAAAGATAAAGTGTAAATGACTGAGAAATTTATGTTTTTAATGATCAACATACTTAGCTATCAAGAAAATGCAAATCAAAACTACATTGAGACTTGATCTTACTTATTCACAATGGACAAAATAAATATCTTAGAAGTTATCAGACTATTTTTCATGATTATCTAACTCTAATAATCATGGCAAATTGGAGCATTCTCATTACATTTACCTTTAAAATGTCATATGAAATCCTACTTTTACATGCACATGTATGTACACCCCACTCTCTATATCTGTCTTTGACTCTCTCTCTCTCTGTGTGTGTGTGTGTGTGTGTGTCTGTCTGTCTGTCTGTCTCTGTGTAGAGAGAGGGAATGGTGGGGTATTGAGAAAAGCACATGTGTAGGTAAAATATACCAAACCTAATGGTAGAAATTGAACACATTCTCTCCCTCCATGGCTTAGGAATCATTGTGGCAGAGGAGGCAGAAAGAGTATAAAAGCTAGAGGTGCTAGATGACTACAGGTCAGGTCAACAGTGCCATCTGGACACAAAAGGATGGGTAGATATATGAGGCAGATCCAAGGAAACACTGTCAGAGAAGTAGGAAAATGAGTTGGGGCCTGACTGGTGTGTTATCAAGTTAGTATGATTTGTAACTGGGACACCGTTTTACTGGGGACACTGGAAGAATGTTCCTGTGTAGAGCCTCCTTCAAAGCTGTGCTACCTAGCTGTTGTTGGTTACCCTAGTGAAGAGAATGGGGCTGACTCTGACTTGGATTCTGTTGCCTACATTTTTATTACTTCGCCACGCAACAGGGGAAGAAGATGGGATCACTCCTGATACAACTTGATATGCTAGGGTGGGTGGAGCTCCTCTTCTCCAAGGAGTAGGGATGGAGGATAGTGGAAATAGGGAAGGAGGGTAGGAAAGAGAAGAGAGGAGGGAGGGGGCTAAGACCAGGATGTAAAATGAATAAATAAAAATTAAAATTAAAAGAAAAAGAAAAAAGTTATCAGATGCTGACAGGACTATAAGAAAAAGGAAATGCTCCTTCACTGATTATGGGAGTGCAAATTGGTACAGCCATTATGGAAATTAGTATGGAGATTCACCAAAAGACAGAAACGGATCTTCCATGTGATGTAGTTATAGCAATTTCATGCAAACACCCAAAGGAGTCTATCTCCTCTTACAGAGATACTTTTTCATTCATGTTCATAGCTATGAACTGGAAACAATTTAGATGCCCAAAACTGATAAATGGGTAGTGGAAACGTCTTAAATGTATAAAATGAAAGATTTTTCAGAAATTAAGAAACATAAAATTATGAAATTTATTGGTAAATGAATGGATATGGAAACAATTATCTTATGTGAGATAACTCAGACCCAGAAAGAAAATTGTTGAATATTACTTTCATATTTGTATGCTAGATTTGTATCTTTAGAAATTTACATTAGAAAACTATGCGGAGAACACAGATAAGGTACTAACAAAGAAGAAATATGGGATATAAGGGAGAAAAAAGAGTAATGAAATAGGAATGATTAAATAAGGCGGGGATGGGAGGGCAGGGTAGAATATGTTGATGGTAAACTAGCACTGTAGCCTCTTGAAAACATTATATGGAAACCTACTGTTGTAGAAGACTCATAAGATATCCACACCCACATTTAAAGAATTATGAAAGAGGTGGGAAATAGTAGGACCTGAAGAGGACAGGAGCTCCACAAGGACAGCAACAGCTCCAAGAAGTCTGGGCACAGGGTTCTTTTCTGAAACTGATACTCCGGACAAGGACCACTCATGGATATGGCTTGGAACCCCTGCACAGGGGTAGCCTATAGCAGTTCAATGTCTAAGTGGCCTCCATAGTAATGGGGACAGGGACTGTCTCTGACATGAATTGATTGGCCTGCTCTTTGATCACCTCCCCTTGAGGGGGGAGAAGAATTACCAGGCAACAGAAGAAGACAATGCAGCCACTCCTGATGAGACCTCGTAGATTAGGATCAGAGGGAAGGGGAGGAGGACCTCCTTTATCAGTGGACTGGGACAGAGGTGGGGAAGAGGGAGGATGGGATTGGGAGGGGAGAAGAGAGGGAGGTACAGGGTAGATACAACGTGAATAAACTGTAATGAATAAAAATAAAAATAATTAAAAATATATAACCCAAAACAGGAATAAATTTAAAACATTTGCTATTTGGTAGGGGTACAATGTCTATTCTAAACAATTTAGACTGAAAAATAAAAACTCTAGGATCAGTAATGGATATTATCTTCTTTTATATCTGTTTGTCAGTAAGGTCCCCTTGACCACCAAATGTTACAGGTTACTGTAATTTCTCTTGGTTATATCTCAGAATATGATGATAAAACAGTAGTGTTGAAGATATCTCATGATTAATTTATAAAACATGGAGAAATCAAACTGGTACTGAACTAGAAGTTTCATTCCTACTCTCAGTGCCGGAAGGTTAGCTATGCATGGTACCAAAGGAGGAAAGTAATCACCAGTCTGAGGCAGCTATGAAACCCACAAGCTACAATAACAACTACCCTGATACTGTACTCCCAGTGGTACAATAGTGGCACAAATGCTATGGGAATAACTAACATCCACAAAAAGAAAGTTATATGTAGCACTGTTACTATGTGCCTAAAAAAGTCACAGGCGAGGGGAGAATCTACTTCTATTAGTCTGCTAAATGGATAGGTTATGGAACTAACACCTAATGGCTTCTCAGTATAACTACATAGTAGCCTATCTTTCACCCTCATCTATTGTCTTTATAGTAGCTCATTCCTCTTCTGGGAATATCTCCTCAGCAAATGTTTCATTGGGATTGATAAGAGACTCCAATTATCCTTTTTTTTTTTTTTCTTGATGGTTGGTTGATTGGTTGAGACAGTCTCCTTTAGCACAGGTTAGTTTAGAATTCTATGAAGTACTCCATAACTGCATAGATTACCTAGCATTTTGGATTCCCCTGCCTTTACGTTTCTAGTCCTGACATTACAGGTGAACATCAGCATACCAGATTTATGGTGAGAGAACCCAGGGCTTCCTGAACACTAGGGAAACACTCTTCTTAGTAGTAACCCTAGCCTAGATGCATAAACATTTTCCTGGAATGCTCCCACAGGAGGTCTGTACTCTGAGACTAATAAAGTCTCTCACAACACCTTGTTACGTTCGTTCATCTCCTCACATTATTATATTTTAGTGCCCACAAAGTTCCAACTGAAAAATTATTCCCAAACTGATTTTCCAGTTTGAATTAAGTATGGCCACGTCTTTACCACTACATTATTGTCATTGCCAAATACTTTTTTAGGTGTTGTTCACATTTATCTTAGTAAGGAGTGAACTCAGATATTTTAATAGTTTAAGATAGCATTGTTTGAAGAGTATTTGTCATATGAATAGTAAGCTAATTTTTACACTGTAATTGAACATCAGCTGAAATCCAATATACCTACATGTTTTCAATATAGTGTTTTCTAATTCTTTACTCTTTTTGAGGACAATTTAATTCAATAGAATTCACTCCTCAAAAATATTCTGTATTATCTCCCTCTGGAGGAGGATGATCCTGTGTTTACAGCTCAATAGATTTCTGTGTAAGCCAGAGCGGGGCAAAGTTTTCTAAAAATAGCCCCACAGTAAAGATTTTTAGCCACTGCAACCAGCCACTGTAGAAACCATGAACTGCACATCCATCATTGTTCATAACTACCCTCTACTTAAATTATTTATGGTCACAGACATTTTATTATATGTAATCATCACATCTTTTAAAATATTATTCCCCTTTCCTTAGCCCAAACATTAAAGAATTGAAAAATATTTCTAGCTTTCAGAGCATCCGGAAAACACTTGGCAAGCCAACCTGTAGACTGTAAACTGGTAGCTCCTTACCTAAATAAACATTAGCAGAATGACTTCTGTTGTGAAAGTCTAGTTAATCCTTGGCATGGGACAAAAGTTAGCCAGTAGATATAAGGAATTTTCCACTGAATAGAATACAAAATCATTTTCCTCTCATAAATAACAGTGGGTAGATGGGGTTGCATATTCAAATTCTACATTATTTGCTGGAATACTCTGAAAGGATAAGGCACCTGGAGCTGCAGCCACAGTGTTCAAA